TTGGCAGTCCATGGCACTTTCAGTATTCTCCTCCAACCCCACAACTCAAAGGCATCAGTTCTTCTACGATCTTCCTTATTCACTGTCCAGCTTTTGCATCCATATGAGGCTAATGAAAACACCATGGCCTGGGTCAAGCGCACCTTAGTCCTCAAGCTGACATCTCTGCTCTTCAACACTTTAAAAAGTTCCTGTGCAGCAGATTTGCCCAGTGCAATATGTCGTCTGATCTCTTGACTGCTACTTCCGCGAGTGTTGATAGTTGATCCAAGAAGAATGAAGTCCTTGACAACTTCAATCTTTTCTCCATTGATAAGAATGTTGTTTATTGGTCCAGTGGTGAGGATTTTTGTTTTCTTGACATTAAGATGCAATCCATATCGAAGGCTGTGTTCTTTGATCTTCATAGGTAAATGTTTCAAGTCCTCTTCACTTTCAGCAAGCAAGGTTGTATCATCTGCATATCGCAGGTTGTTAATGAGTCTTCCTCCAATCCTGACGCCACGTTTTTCTTCAAAGAACCCAGCTTCTCGTATTATATGCTCAGCATACAGGTTGAATAAGTATGGTGAAAGAATACAACCCTGTCTCACACTTTTTCCAATTTTAAAACATTCATATGTAGTGTAGTGGTTTTGAATTGGGCTGCTAACCTCAGGGTCATCTGTTAGAAACAACCAGCTGTTCCGCGGGAGAAAGATGAGGCTTTCTGCCCCCATAAAGATTGACAGCCTCGGAAACTTTGTACAGGGTCACTGTGAGTCGGAATCGACTCCACGGCAAATAACAATAACAACAGAGGAGCTGTGGTAGTGCCACTGCTGAACTAAAGACAGCAGTTTGAATCCACCAGCCATCCTGTGGGAGAAAAATGTAATAGTCTGCTTCCTTGGGAACCTTAAGGGACAGTTCCACCATGTCCTATAGGGTCTCTATGTTGTTGTTGTTAAGTGCTGGTGAGTTGGTACTGACTCTGTATAGGGCTTCTGGGGAACGGCTGGTGAGCTTGAATCACTGACCTTGTGGTTCAAAGCAACTTTGCAGTCCAGTGTTTTAACCCACAGCACCACACCAGGACTCCAAATGAGCCAGGGTCTCTGTGAGTCATAGGAGGTTTCTGTAACCATCATTTCAGTGGGGTTCCTGAGAACTGAATCACTCTGCAGAAGTGGAAGTTTACTTAGGATAGAATGTGCTTTTATCCCTGAGGAGATGTACACTTTGACAAAGCATATTAAGTTTGTAGTCAGGTTGTTCCCGAAAGGTAGGTTATTGTGAAGAAGCCAGTTTATACAGAGGATGCTTTCAGCACAGAAGAGTGGTGTGTCGATGTGCCTAAGACTTCACAGCAGTTCCAGAATCCGAACCCCTCAAGCTTTATGCTTAGCTTGTACAACCTTGTAGTCTCTTAACTTCAAAGCAAACCCAGCTTACCAAAAGCGGGATCAGATGTGAGATACTGTGCACGCAAGTACTGAGCATTAAAGCACAAAGAAAGTATCCCCATTCTCTTCTGGGACCTTGTTATCTAAAGCATTTCATTTAAATCATGTAGTTCCTCATCTTAAAAAATATTGCATCTCCCAAAGTTAGGTTAAGCCTTAGAATCCCCTCATTTTTGTGTCAGCAAAAAAAATAACTGCTAGTCATATGGAAAGGACTTGTTACATATGGAAAAGGACATGTTACATATGGAAAAGGACATGTTACTTTGTCAGTGTCTTTCCATGTTCCCTTTTCCACTGTGTCCTTATGTTTCTTTACTGAACACGTCATCGCCGCCTCTACCAGGAAGACAGGTGATACATGGCCACCGAGGCAGCTCTGTTAAGGTTCCACCTCAGGTGAACTGACCAGTGCTATAGAGCAGAGAATAGAATCTAGTTTTCTGAAGCGCTTAAGTTCTCCCTCAGACAGCTGAAAGGAGTAATTAAAGAATTAGGCAATTTAACTTTCTATTATTAGCCTAACTCCTTACATAAAGCATGCCAGAACGCTAAACCAGGGCGTATTAAACTGTCAACGCAAGAGAGTTAATATTAGTAGTTCTAATCCTTAAAGCCTCTCTTTTTTAATTTGATCAATTTGATGCTGCCTACTTCCTAGATATCTGTTAAATAACTTTCAAGAGATATCCTAATATAAACTTCTCATCTTTCCTTTGAATTCCCCCAGTTCTCCTCCCTGACCCCCTCTATTGCTCTCCCTCTAAGAAATGTTGGCCTGTGGGCATGATATTCTTGGAGCGCACAAGGCTTGCTTCAAGAGGATGACTGGGTTTGATGCCATGCAAGAGGACTAATTTTAGCTCTTGGGTCTTCTGCACATGATGTCTTATAAATTACTTATGAAGCATTTTTCATATTGCAGAGATTTGAAAAAAAAAAAAAAGGAAACCGATTAAATTGTTACAGTGGAAAGAGGGTGGGAGAGAAAAAGGAGAGGTACAGAGGCTCTGGAGACTAAAGTAACGGAAGAAAACACTGCTGGAGTTTCACTGGCTTCTATTAAAAGTTTGTCCTTTATGCAATGCTAAGTTTTACTTAACCTGTGTGAAGGTAAAAGATGCTTAGGGGACAAGTTCATCAAAGCTGAGGGGCAAACATATTCTCCAGGGATAAAATATATTTTTAAATTCTCACCGTCATTGTCATCATTATTTCCTCTCTGCTTTTAATAGTCATGGTTATTTATATCCCAATTAAGAACTGTCTGTGAGAACTGCGATGTTCGTCAGAGTAAACTATGGTCAGTTTGGATGTGCAGACTTTCTGTTGGCATTGCTCTGTTTTGTCTTAATGCTCTTGCACTTTGGTCTCCAGTACCTACCTGCACATAGCAGATGGTGACGGCAGAAATGAAGGCAAGTGGGTAACATCTACCCTCTCACAGGAGAATTCGAGAAAGAATGCAACTACCACTGCTAATGGCATATACCCATAAACACCCTCCTTCTCCAAGAAAATGATCCTTCTCATTGCCTCCCAAACAGAGAATTCCTCTCCCAGTCCCTTCCCTCAGTGCATTGTTCCTTCTCCCTTTTTTGCTGACTAGTAGAAAGCCAAGCAGCTTTGTGGTGAGATTGACAGCCCTAGTTTCGCTTCATAGATCTCCTCGTCACTTACTGTTTAAGCTTAGACAAGTTACTTATTTTATTAAGGATCAGTTTTCTTGTCGGTAAAGTGAAGATTAATAATCCTTCACGCGGTTTTCGTGAAGATTAAGTAGAAGAAAAGAGACGAATCACTCAACAAATACCGGTTTCTTTCCTGGTAGTTTCCCCTGTTGTAAGTCCCACCTAGTTTTCAAGTTCAAGTTCTACCTCCTCCCTGCTTATACTGAAGCATTTATTTGACACAGCCTGGCACCTCATGGTTATTTGTTGTCTTGTAGCTACTGTCTCAAGTTGCTTGTGAATATCTTAAGAGCTGGAGCGCTCTCCAAATGCTGAATCCTCACTTAATGACTTAGCCTTGTTGACCTTAGTAGCCTCAGGTGTGTGATGGTGTGGATGGAAAGTGGCTCTTCTTCTTCTCAATTAAGTAAGTTGAAGATAGTTTTGAGTCCGTTACATTTTCTTGCACAATAAGGAAAATGGCCTGACAAGTGCTTTCTTAAATTTTGAAATAAGATGACTGGACTCTAAAAGGGAGCCATCATACCCAGAACAAGACTTCTTGTACTTCCATCACTGCACAGAGAGCTTGTTTGGAGACATATATCTGCTTGAGATAGCATCCTCTAGACCAGGTATTTCTTGTAAAGCGTGTTTGAATGTTCTAGTAAGGAAGGGGAGGTCTGCACTCCTAGTTAAGAATTGTCCTCTAATCGAAAATTAACACTTTCAACGGCTGCACATGTGAAAGATGAGGGAAGACACCTGTTCAGCTGCCAGCTGGGCTGGAGTTTACCATTAACAGTCAAAGAGATGATGGATACCCTGACCCAGGCCTCTCCCATCGCAGACACAGCATTATAACCAGCAAGTGGCCGGCACTACCCCAGCACTGGAGTCCTGGCATGGCACTGTGGGTTAATGCACTGGACTACTAGGTCAGCTTGAAATGCAAGAGCGGTGGCTCAAGCTCACCAGCTGCTCCTTGGAGACCCTATACAGGGTTGTTATGGGACAGAACTGACTTGATGGCATTTAATAACATCCCAGCACTATCCGTCAGGTGGTGCTGGATCGTGGCTCCTTACCCATACTAACACATGGTCCCTAATAGGGTTAGAACCTTTAACTCACCAGCAGAATTGTAACAGTGCCCTTCTCACTGTACATAGCAGGAAGTGCAGCTTTTGTGACCATGACTCATTTCCCGAAAGCATCATTGTGCTATTGCAGCTTTAAATATTGAAATATCCCCTGTGCCTCCACTACCGTCCTTCCTTCCTTCCTTGGTATTTATTTTATATATATATAGGCTCTTTTGTTGCATCTTTCATTTAAAGCTCTGGTGCAAATTAGAAATCTTCTATAGATTCTTGGTGTGATGCTGTAGGATAAACACTGGACTGCTAGCCACAGGTTAGAACTTCAAAACCACCAGCTGCTCCTCGGAAACAGGGTCTCTATGAGTGGTAATTAAGTCGACGGAAGTTAATAAGAGCAGCATCTCAGACTCAGATACTAATTTGTCATTTCTCCCGCTTTGAAAGACAAATAGCAGGAAAGCTCTGATATTTTCATATTCAAGATGTTTCACAGCTGAATACAACCAGATCTTGGGCCTTGATCTTTATTGTCATAGATTTTTTTCCTCCCTAATACTTGGTTCTTGCAAGAACCTAGGTGAAATTTGAACTTCGGTGCCAAAGCTTGAATCTCAATCTCGATCTTGCTTTGGGTTCTCCAGCACAATGATTTGTGTGTGTTCAGCTGGAGAAAAACTGACATTGTCACCTTTTTGTTCTTCTTGCCATTTTGGGACTTGAACTATGGGACTACACCAGAGAGATGTGTCTAATGTGCAATGTTTGTGTCTCTTATCATTGAGGTCATTGTCATGAGAAAACCCTGGACCACAGCCATGACAAACAGAAATATTTTGACCACTCACAGTCACTGGATGCTGTTGAAGAAGAGCCCTCTGAGAGAGGAACAGAGGAGGACCCTGTGTTTTCTGTTGAGAATTCAGGGAGGCACTCGGATGCCCTTAGGCTTGAAAGTAAGTTGATTTGACCCGAGCTGCTGAGCTTCTGGAAAACAATCAACTCTAGCTTGCTTTAAGCTTAGGCTTTCTTTACTTTCAAGAAAGTTTTCTTCCTTCTTTTAACAGCCCCTTGTTATTCCATAGAATCGGGAGGGTGATCCATAGATGGTGAGGTAGAAAATAAGCTATGATCTTTTTCCTTCACCTCAATGTAATATTTTGCTAGAACAAATTTGATTCATTTGTGTCCAGGTCTGCCTTCTTGTCATTACTCTTTTGACAAAGTCACTGAAAAAAGGAAGATTCCCAGCTCTCCACCTGCTTCCTGGCTTCTGGGTTATCTCTGGCCCTCTTCCCATCATCAGACTATCTTTTCACATTTCCTTCCCCGCTTCTGTATCTTCCCCCTGATTCGTTGGGTTCCCCAAGATCCTAACCTTGGTCTTCTTTGCTTACCCATATGCATGTTATCTCTTGCTGATCTCCTCTGCCTTTGAGTATGCTGATGACTCCAAATCTGCCTCTTTCAGCCAAGATATTCCCTGTGACTCCAAATCATACCTCCACTTACCTCGTGGCTCTTTTGTCTGGTTTTGTCACAGGTATTTAGTATATCCAGAATGGAACTTGTCCTCATTTCCATCCTGGTTCCTGAGTTGCTTCTAATTTGTATCTCCCTGACCCCGGTTAGTGTTATCACCATTCACCCAGGCACACCTCTCTCCAATCAGTTCCCCAGACCCATTGAATCTGCCATCCCGATTTGTTTTCACTGCCACTGTCTAAATTCAGACTTCTTTCACTTCTACCTGGACTGTTACAGAAGCCACTGAATTGGAGCAGACCGTGTCTGGGTAACAGCAGATGGTAGTTTTCTTTTAAAATGACCTTACCAAGTTAAAAGAAAACAAAAAGGAGTTCTAATCGATCCACCTATTTTTGAGCAGCATAGCAGATGGAATCAGTGTGTCTCTGTGGGATAAAGCACTGGACCAAAAGGTCGGTTTGAACCAAAAGATCAGCGGTTCAAACTCACCAGCTGCTCCTTGGAAACCCTATACAGGGTTGCTATGAGTCGTAACTGACTCGACAGCACTTGACAACAACAACAGTCTAGGTATGGAGTGTGTGTAGGCAGGAGAGAGAAATGATATCATTGGTACACATTTCAAGAAGAAGTAACCAACACTATTATCAGAAACAACCTCTGCTACCAATTTCCTGTATGTCCTTCAGAGTTATTTCTAAAATACAGACCTCAGCAGGTAAGTTGCCTAGATTTAAATTTCTGCATGGCTCCTTATTTACTCAGAAGAAATCCAAATGGCTTAGGATGGGATCTGAGATATTTTAGCCTGATTACCTCTCCACCAACACCACGTAGGAAGTGCTGTTACTGGTACCCTACAAAAGGATCCTTGGTGGTACGATGATTAAGTGTTTAGCTGCTAACCGAGAGCTTAGCGGTTCAAGCCCACCACTGCTGTGCAGACGAAAATCCCTACAGAGCTGCTCCCATGAAGATTAAAGCCTAGGAAACCCAATGGGGCAGTTCTGCTCTGCCACTAGGGTCCCTGTGAGTCAGCACCCAGCGACACTAAGGACCCCACGTAGCAGACAGTACAAGCCTTTGCGTCTCTTCCTCCCATGCTGTGCTCGGGTAAGTGCCTGTGCATTGGTGCTGCCACCGTACATAGGTAACCACTCAGGGCACAATGACACCTGCTCTGAGGCACTGTCCAAGTTCTCCGTCTAAGCGTTTCGTTGTTCTTTCTGTAGCGTTGCTCCTGCTTTTTGTCGGGGCACATTTCATTCAGTATCGGTGCTTGCGTGCCTTGTCTCCCATCAGAGTATGCGATGTCTTCTATCACTTTATATTGCTTGCGTACAGTAAATGTTTGTGAAAGTAATGAAAATGTGGTGTTTACCTTCCCGAGTAGGTTTGATTTACATGTCTAACAATTACAAAAGTGTGTGTTTCCTTCAGCATGGTACTGGATTTTTTTAATGAAGTATAAGAGAAAAAAGCAAGCTAAACTTTAAAGAGGAAATTGTGACCTTTAGACCTTTGAACCTTCAGAAAATTACTGTCATCAGTTCGACCAGAAATGATTGTGCTGTCAAGAAATGAATCCCCAGTGACCAGCTAAAAGGAGACTGACTTATAAAGTAGAGAGGCAGTTTGTTCATTTACAAAGGGGACTGCTTTTCTCTGGTGCCCAGCAGCCTCTTATCTCTTTCTGGTATCTAGGGACTCCCAACAACCACGTGAACAGTCATGTGATAACTGCTTCTCTCCCCCAAACAAGGCAAGTCCCTGGTGCAGAATAAACCCAGTGTGTGCTCTTTGCCTCCCCTGTGGATGACTACATCAGGGCTTGAGATACTCAAATTGTAACATAGCACTAAACATTTGTTTCTTCAGTTCCATTTTCAATCTTGAGTGACAGTACAGCCTTCCCAGGCTGAAATGAGAGGTTGCCCAGGTTCCTTTAGTATCCTACAGATGTTCTTTGTGAATGATTTCTCTTTCAGATCACTAATTTAATCCACAGTATGATGATGACTCTTCAGTTAAACTTAGTCTTGTTGTTAAATGCTGTCGAGTCATTTTCAACCCATAGCGACCCTGTATAGAGTTTCCAAGGAGCGGCTGGTGAGCTTGAACCACCAACCTTGTGGTTCAAATGACTTTGCAGTCCAGCGCATTAGCCCACAGTGCTACACCAGGACTTCAAACTTGGTTTAAGCAACTCACTTTTCCTGAGTCTGCTCCTAAATTCTGATACTACCTTGCTGTTCCCTAGGTAGTGACAGCAAGTCATAATTAGAGCAGACATGTTCATCCCAGTGGGTTTCCAGTAGGATCATCAGTAGGTTATTCAAATAAGAAAATCTCCATTTTTAAATACAAGTAGTGTGGCATAATGAAAGCCAGCCATAGACATTAGATCATTTTGGAAAGTGTATTTTGGAAGGAAAATTGAGAGAAATACAGTAATTGAGTTCTCTCTCGTAATCATTAACTATTATAATAATCGTTATCTTTTTTGTGCTATTTTATCATTTATAATGTGCTGTATGTATTAACCATGTGAAGCAGATTATTATTCAACTCTCCTTGTATATTCAACTCTTCTTTGTATGAGGCTCAAAGAATGTATGTAAGTCTCCAGTAGGTGGCAGGTCTAGAACTCATCCGCCAGCATTCTGGTTCTATCTCTGTGCTAGGTGGATAGATTAAAACTCTTTATCTTTTAATCGGTAAGGTCATTTTTAAAAGAAAACTAGCATCTGCTGTTGCCATTTTCTAAGATGAAGATAATTTTACTGTCAGAATGTACACAGACACGATCTCAGAATAAAGGCCACTCTTTCTCAAAAACAGGCCATGGGTATCACCACTGTCCACTTCCAGATTTTTCCACCCCCATTAACTGAAGCTCACTGCCCCCCAGGCATAATGAAAACAATTAATGCCACTGAGCTGTGCATGTACAGATGTTGAAATGGCATGTTTTTGTTAGATATCTACTCACCACCAGGAATACACTTAACTAATACAAAAGAAAACCAAAGGTAACCTTACACCAGCAATTGAGTGTCTATGGATCTGTGCATGATAAAATAGGAATCTATGTTGCAACTTGGTTTATGTATCCTTCTTTCTCATTTTACAATGGGTGAACATTTGTTGTGAATATTGTCTTTAATGCCCCTTCATCTAATCAGGAACTCTTCGTGTCTAAGAAAGCCTCTACCTTTGGAATGAAGAATGTAGATTCTGTAGTCAGAGATCTAGTTGCCATGTCTTGACTCCACCACCTACAACTTACTAAGCTTTGAACAGGTTACTTAATTTTGCTGAGTCTTCCTTATATCATTTATTTAAAAGTAGACAATGAATGGTTTTGAATATTTAAATAAAATACCTTAGAATTTCTCTTAGAACCAGGTACACAGCTGGCACTCAGTGTACACGTGTACAAACATAAACGTGACTCTGACACTACTTGTGATCAGAAGTCCTCACAAGCACATACCTTGATCCATGCTCAGAAAACATCTGTTCATTTGAAGGGAGCCCTAAAATACCTACACAGTGATTACTGTCATAGACTCCCCTTTGACTTCTCTAAGATTTCTTCTCACACACTACTTACCCAACGAAAAGGCAGAAGGAAGAGCACCGTGTTGCAAATGGAAACTCCTGATTGCTGACTAGAACCCGAATGCATACTGTATAACTGTTTTTATATCTTGCTGACCCTTGAACTTCAGGTACAGTGGTGGAGGAAAGCAATGGCTCTGATGAGATGGAAAATTCAGATGAAACAAAGATGTCAGAAGAGATACTGGCTTTGGTGGATGAATTTCAACAGGCATGGCCTCTGGAAGGCTTTGGAGGCGCACTAGAGATGAAGGGGCGGCGTCTGGATTTACAAGGGATCCGGGTACTCAAGAAAGGTCCCCAGGATGGAGCAGCCAAGAGCTCTTGCTATGGAGACTGCAAAAGTGAAGATGATGAAGCAACAGAATGGGTGAGAGTTTATTACCTCGTTGGTAGAGTGGGAAGTTTCAATTTCTGTTTATTATGTGACAGTACTTTGCTGCATATCCCAGGACGGCCTGCGTATTGGAATCGTACTGCAAGAAGCATTTCATACTTCGGTGTTGCTAGCTCTCCTGAGAGGATGCGTATGATCAGGCTCAAGGCTTGCAGACTTCTTAATGTTTAGATTCTTCTTTATGTTCTTATTGTTTGGTGCTATTAAGTCAATTTCAACACATAGCATCCCCATGTGACAGAGTAGAACCCCTAGGGTTTTCAAGGCTGTAATCTTTACTGGAATAGATTGCCAAATCTTTCTCCCATGAAGCCTCTCGGTGGGTTTGAACTGCCAGCCTTTCCGTTAGCAGCCAAGCGCTTACCCATTGCACCATCATCAGGGTTCCATATACAGAATGCAGCTTGGTTGCTTTGTTTCCTGTTTCATTTAGACCTTTAAGAATTAGACGGAAAGAAATTAACCCTAGCGCAGGCCTGGGATATTCTTAAAACTGCTTAGATTCATAGTCAGTGAGAGAGTTGATCGTTGCTCTCATTTGTTCTTAATATGTTTCCTTCTACCAGATCACATTCCAAGTGAAACGTGTCAAGAAACCCAAAGGAGAGAATAAGAACACTCCCGGGAAAAAAATGGAATCAAACCAAGCAGAAAATACGCACCGGTACCAATCCAACCTGGAGATCACCGGCCCAAAGGTGGCATCTCCTGGACCACAAGGTAAACCTGAGTGTTCATTTGCTGTCTCCTCCTTTAGCTCTCAGTGTCTCCATTTCTGACAGTATGTCAAGTGAAGACCAAGGGCAAAGTAAATAAGAAACCACTCATCAGTCTGAAATTTTTTTTTTAACCATTTTTTTACTTGGTCTTTTTACCATTCATTGTTTAGATTTATGTTATTACCATCGTGAATGTAAACATACTGTGTTTGCATTTTACCAGACAGCCCAGTGTAATATATCAAAGTGAGTGGCCTGGTTCCAGCACCAGTTCTGCCTGCCGTTTACCTCCCTATGCCTCATTTGTTATCTGTATCTATCAAACAAGGATAGTAATAGCATCTACATCATAGGGGTTTTGTGAGGCTTATACAAGTCTATCCATAAAAAAGTACTTAAAATGCTCTGGGCATATAGTGACTCAATAAGCTATTTGCTGTATAGTCAATTCCACCTCATGGAAACTATGGGTTTTCAGTGGCTGAGTTTTCAGAAGGAGATCACCAGGCCTTTTTTTCAAGTCTCCTCTAGGTGAACTCGAATTTACAGCGTTTTGATTAGCAGCCAAGCATGAGTTTTGTTCTTGCACCCCCAGGGTTATTAGCTATCAATAGGCTATTAGCTCCTGTTAGCAACATTTAAGGGTATCGGATACCTCTGAAAGCATTGGATGAATGCATTGGAACTTCTCTCCAGAAAAGATACTAAGACGCCAAATTTTAGAGTATGATTTCAGGCGTTCATAATTGCACTGAGTTAAGCTCCGACTTCTTAACTTTACCAGCAGTTTTGTAATGGTGATTGACTCCCTTTAACAACTATTATCACCTTCAAAACATTTTGTTTTTACTGCCTTAGAAAGATTTGAAAATTCAAGATAACTTCATTAAATTAGTCTTGTTTTGTTTGGTGTGAGCCCAGACCAAAGCTAAAAGCAGAAGGCACATCATAATACAGAAACAACAGAGTCAGATTGGCTCAATCCCAGAATGGATTGTGACTTGTAAGAAAGTCAAAGGACACCATCTAGGACGTAGACGTGTCCTGTTTGTAATCAAAAGCATGTGTCGGCCTATGGCACTGTTTAGGAAGATATCTCGGTTTAAGCACTACCTCCATTAAGTCTGCCATTTGTACCAAGGAAAGAGATCACACTTTATAAACTTTCCTAGGGAAACAGCAATCCTAAATATCATCAAACAATTAAAGAAAATTTAAATGACTTTTTACATACTCTTGAGTGGAGAAATGAGCCCTGATGGCATGGCAGTTAAAACACTTAGCTGCTAACCAGAAGGTCAGAGATTCGAACCCACCAGCCACTCTGCAAGAGAAAGATGTGGCAGTCTGTTTCTTGAAAACCCTGCAGAGCAGCTCTACTCTGTCTGTAGGGCCTCAGTGAATCAGAATCCACTTGATAGCAGTGGGTTTGATTTAAGCTGGAGAAAGACTTCCTAAGGCGAGAGTGAGAAAGAGATCCAACCATCAAAAATGAAATAATTAATTTCTGACACCCAAAGCACCACAGTGCTTGGAAGGCAAAGGACCGAGACCAAGTATTTGCAGAACATGTGATAAACAATATCAGTAATGATCATTTCAAGAGCACCAGTTCTGGTAGCTTAGTGGTTATGAATCAGACTACGAACCTTAAGGCCAGCAGTTCGAAACTACCAGCCTCTCCACGGGAGAAAGATGAGGCTTTCTGCTCCTGTAAAGATTTACAGCCTCGGAAACCCTGTACAGGGTCGCTATGGGTCGGAACCGACTCGAAGGCAATTAACAACAACAACTTATGAAAAATGCATCATTTCAATTAAAATTTAGAAAGAACATTGGCATTTCACCACATATGTACGTGTATGCACCACTGACTAGCAAGCATGTGAAAATAGATCTAGCCTCAGCATTGCGAACAAACTGCAAATACACAAGCGAGATAGTCTTGCATATCAAGTTGTCTTTAAGAACATGATAACAAGGAGACAGTAAAAATCATCAAGTTGATTTGGGGCATAGTTTGACTAGATGTATCAGGAAAAATATTAAAATACCAATAATTCTACTTCTAGTATTTTACCCTACGTAAATCATCTTACAAGGAGCTCTGGTAGTGTAGTGGTTACGAATTGGGCTGCTAACCTCAGAATCAGCAGTTCTAAACTACCAGCTGTTCTGTGGGAGAAAGATGAGGCTTTCTGCTCCTGTAAAGATTTACAGCCTCGGAAACCCTGTACAGGGTCGCTATGAGTCAGAACTGACTCCACGGCACATAACAACAAAATCATCTTACAAGTACCAAAGATGTCGATATGATGATATTCACCACAGGCTTGCTTGTCATGGTAAAAATCTGCAAACTACCTGAAGAGAATTCTGTGTTGCATACTATACCTCTAAGATGTTTGTGATACATTGAATGAACAAAAGCTTGTTTCTAAAACAGCATAAAGAATATGTCAGTTTTCCTAAAACACTAAATATACTCTATTTCATCAACTATCCTTGTTTTTTACATTTCAACATTTCTGAAATTGGGCTGCACCTTACACTCGATGGTATCTTAAAATGAAAGCATGCTTTTCTTTCCTGAATCATATAAAGTGACGTACACCTTACAGTTGACAGCATCTTAGATTTGATGAAATACAGTGCACCAAACCAGTACAGAGAAACCGGTCAGCAAAGAGACCAGTCCCGACCTTACCAGCGGTCATCTCTGGGTGCTGACAGAGTTATAGATGACTTCACGTTCTCCTGTGTGCTTCTCCATTTCTCTAAATACTTTATAATGAGCCACAGTAGTTTTGAGCCCTGGTGTGGCGCCACAGGGTAAGCACTAACCTGGTAACTGCAAGGTTGGCAGTTCAGACCCACCAGCCACTCTGTTGTTGTTGTGTGCTGTGGAGTCGGTTCCGACTCCTAGCGACCCTGTATAGGGTTTCCGAGGCTATAAATCTTTACGGGAGCAGAAAGCCTCATCTTTCTCTTGCGGAACAGCTGATAGTTTCAAACCGCTGACCTTGCGGCTCACAGCCCAATTCGTAACCACTACGCTACCAGCCACTCTAGGAGATCCTATACAGGATCACTGAGTTGGAACTGACTCGACAGCACACAGCAGCATTACTTTGATAAACAAAAAAATAAAAGCTTTTTTAATAGATGTGAAAGTTAAGATTCAGTAAAATTGAGATGATACTGAGTTGTTAAGTGCCATCAAGTTGCTTCTGACTCATAGCGACCCTGTATAGGGTTTCTCAGCAGCTTGTGGGTTTGGACTGCTAACCTTGTGGGTCACAGTCCTGTGCTGATCTTACAGTGCCACACCGGGAGTCCTGGTTTGATATTAGAGCACTTGAATAGCTCTAAGTGGATTCAGGTTCATGGGCCCAGGTGGGTCATCGAAGAGGCTTACAAATATGATCATGAAACTACTTACATATTGTCACGAAACTGAAAAATTCCACAGCAGAACACCAGAGAAGTACACTATCCCAATTCTCAAGTAAATGCATAAAGCCTGTCAATTACCAACTGGTAACGCTTCATCATAAAGCCTGGCGAAGCTCTAAAGCAGATTACTAGGCAGGTAGTTCGAGAGTCCATGGGGGGAGAGGGGTAAAGGGGAGATGATTAAGAACCATTGTAGATTGACTGAGAACTAATAGAACTAATAATGCTTAACTAATTTCATTTCCTTTTTTGGTTAGGGCTACTAGACTGGAAGACCAGGGAAGTGCCATAGACATAATGTAACTGGATTTCAGCAAGGCATTTAACAGAGCCTCAATGATATCCTTGTGAACGAGATGGAGAGATGTGGGCTCGAAGGTTCCCCATTGCCTCCGGGATAAAGTCCAAGCCTCCTAGTGTGGTGCTCAAGACCCTTTACAAACCAGCCTCTGTCCAGCAATGCTCTCACTTTACCTCCATGCCTTTGCAGTTCCTGTTCCCTCCACCTGGAAAGCCCTCTTGCCACCTATGTTGGTGTTCTCCTTAAACTCCAGAGCCCTCTCTTCCTTGGTACCTTCAGGCAGAATTAGTTGCTCTCCTCTCTGTGCCATTGTTCTAGCCTTTCACTCTAGCACTTACCCTGTTGTATGATAATGATTTGTTTCTGTTCATCACCCTCACTAGACTGTGAGCTCAAAAGCAGGCCTTCGTAATCTTCCTCTGTGTATCGCCAATGCCTTATGCAGTTCCCAGCCCCTTCCTTATCGTAGGTGCTCAATAAATGTTTCTCAACTGAATTTCTTAAATATAAAAGAAAAACAAGCTTTATTGTGAAACTGGTGGTTTATTTCCTTAAAGAATTAGTTTCTACAGGGTTAGTTTGAAATTCTTCCAAACTGTTCTTTTCTATTAAAATCTTCTATTGTTGGTAAATTCCTACAGTATGAAAGTGCTTCCAGAGTTAAAGCTCTCCTTCCTGAGATATCATTTTAATTCCTCCCATAGGAGCCTTCTGAAACAAGAATTTATTCTCTTGTTTTGGGTGTGGTGGGGAGACTTGGTCTAAGCAAAAGGCCTTGACCCCAAGGTGATGCCTGTGAAGGGTCTCAGGAAAGAGCTCAAAAGCCATGTATGGTTTTAAATAGCATGCTTATTGGAAGCACGCCCCTTAGACTCAAACACTGGGGTTCAGATCCCAGCTGTGCCGCCTACCAGCCAGGTAACCTTGGGCAAGTCACTTATCCCTCTGATCCTCCAGTTTCTTCCGTTTTCTCATCTGAGAAATGAGGATTAAAACCTCCTTCATGAGGTGGTTGCTATAAAGCACAGGACCTGCCACACAGTAAGTGCCCTTAAGATAAATAAGCTCTCATTACCATGGTAGCGTAGTGGTTACGAATCGGTCTGCTAACCTCAAGGTCAGCAGTTCGAAACTACCAACTGTTCGCTGGAAGAAAGATGAGGCTTTCTGCTCCCGTAAAGATTTACAGCCTCAGAAACCCTGTACAGGGTCGCTATGGGTCGGAACCGATTCCACGGCACATAACAACCACAACAACAACAACAACCATGGTTAGTTCCTACCTTGCTGCCATTCTTCACGGTGGAGCTCTACCTGGTGATTCCCCCCACCACCACCACCACAGGACATTTGGCCACATCTGGAGACATTTCTGGTTGTCACATCTGGGGGAGGGTGTTGTGGCTATCTAGTGGGTAGAGGTGAAGGTTGCTGCTAAACATCCTACAGTGCATAGGTTATACCCCACCACATCCAAGAATTATTCAACCCAAAATGCTCATAGTATCAGGTTGACCTGCTTTAGTGTTATACGAGGGACCTTTAAAAAGTTAGTGGAGAAATTCCATTATCTTTTAATGCCATTTTTCCATGAACTTTTTGAAGCCTCCTGATCTGTTGTTTTTAGAAAAGCAAAATGTAGAGGGATAAAAATTAAGTTGGTAAGAAAGCTTAACATTGAAGGGTATCTTAACCCTTACTAATTAGTCTTAAATGGAAAGAAGGAATCTTTTTTTGGTTTTGTGTTTTGCTTCACCATCTATCTTTGAGAAAAGGGTTTTTCTCATAAATCCTAACTGAATGACCAGGTTTTAGACAGATCTGTAGATGGTGGAAATGTTAAAGAGGAGAAGGATTGACTGGTACCTCCAAATGTACCACACTGGGTGAAGTCATCAGCAGAGCACAAGGCACTTTAGGTTCATTCTGTCCCTATGCCGTTGTGTTGATGCGCGACATCCTTTCCTTCCAGGAAAAAAGCGTGATTACCAGAGTCTGGGATGGCCCAGCCCAGATGAGTGCCTCAAACTCCGCTGGGTAGAGCTGACTGCCATCGTCAGTACCTGGCTTGCAGTTTCTTCAAAAAACATTGAGTGAGTATCTCAAGCCTCTCCCTCCTTCATGCCGCTTTGTTTACCAGGGCACCAGCTGGGTGTCAGCCAGCTCCAGGGATGCCCTTCCTTCTCGGCATCTAGCGGAAGAGTTATCCTTCCCGGGCTGATGGTTCAGAGGATGGGCATTGCTGGCCACAGCGCACAGATGGACTCAGCACATTCTACTCAAGCAGTGCTTAACTGTGCCCCCTTCTCAGTGCCTTCAACCACACTTTGAATGGAAGACCAGGTCCCTCTTTCCAGACATGCTAGTCTCTTACTAACATCGTCCACTTGAAAGGAGAGCCAGAGCAAATGCTGGTTTACAAATTCCTCCCAAAACTTGGTGTGGCACTATAGGATCAACACTGGTCTGCTAACTGCAAGGTCAGTGGTTCAAACCCACCAGCCACTCCTTGGAAACTATTCAGAGTCACTATGAGTCAAAACCAACTCAATAGCACTTAACAACAACACACCAAGACACAGGAGTCCTGGTCTGGTGCCGTGGGATAAGCACTAGACTGCTAACTGCAAGGTAATGACTTAAACCTACCAGCTGCTCCTTGGAAACCCTATTGAGGACCACTGTGAGTCAGAACTGACTCGGCAGCCCTGAGCAACAACAGCCAAGACACACACTGAGCAAGGCTGCTTCTCTAACAACTGCTTTCTCAGGGCCAGCCACTCCCTCCTTGCCTGCTGGCCCCTTCTCTACTCCTGAAATGTGGGCATTCCCACGATTACCACTACGCCTTCATGGTTAACATCCCACCCCAAGGACTTCAATCACCATTGATATATTGATGTCTCGCAAGTTTTTCTTCAAAGCCCCCACGTCATTGATCCAATTGTCTACCTGACTTCATTGCCTGGATAGCTTTCAGCACCCCAAGCTCAGGAGAGTTAAGCTCATAATTTTCATGCCCACTCTCCTACCAGAAAACCTGTTTGTTTGTTTCTTCCATCTTCCTAGTATAAGGTATGGTGCTATAGGATGAGTACTAGACTGCTAACCACAGTGTCGGCAGGTCAGCCCCACCAGCTGCTGCTCGTGAACCCTATACAGGGTTGCTATGATTCAGAAGTGACTTGATGGCACCTAACCACCACAGTGCAGGGCTCTAACAGCGCTCACAGCACAACCCTACGAGTCATCCCTCCTACACTGCCCTCTGTCCTTCCCTCATAGGCATCTGCTCTCTGCACAGTTCCCAGAATTCTTCCTCAAATATAAGTCCAACTGTGTTCAGGACCCTCTGTTAGCTTCTCACCGCTCCCGACAGTGGCCCACAAAGCCTTCACAGGCTGCTCGCTGCCTGCTCTGTCCAGTGCCCGCTGGGGCCTTCACACAGAACAGGTCCTGGGCCTGCAGTGGTGATCTTGTCACCTACTTCTCACCTGGTGAATTCACACTCACCTTTGTGATCTCCACTTCCATTTCACTTCTTCGGAGACTCGTTCACTAGGCATCCCCTTTTTCCATCAGAGTGAGGACATGTACACCTCCTGTCATGAACTGCACAGCGCCACGCTTCCATCTTTATGACCACAACTGTAATCATAATTGAATCCTTCATAAGCGTGAACGTCCTATTAGCAGGGACGAGGTATGTTTGTTGTTGTAGCCCTGGTATCTGATGCTCAGTAGACTCTCAGTAAATGCTGAATATTTCCCTAATATAGGTTAAGCTTTTTAAATAGCTAGAAGTAAACTTTTGGAAATGCTAACTTGCCACATCAGTACTTTTGATAGTCGATTGGCAAATTGGCAGCCTCAGTGGGCAACAATTGTGAGGTTGACCCAGGACCGGGCAGTGTTTCGTTCTGTTGTCCATAGCATCGCTATGAGTCGGTACTGACTCAGTGGCACTTAACAACATAACATTAAGCCCAATATATAGTGGGAAAAATGAGCCTTCTGTGGTAGCTCTGTGATTAAGCATTTGACCTCTAACAAAAAGTTGGTGGGGAAGAAAGCTATGGCAGCCTGCTTCTGTAAAGATGTACAGCTTTGAAAACCCAATGGGGCAACTCTTTCTGGAGGGTAGCTATGAGTCAGAATCAACTCAACATCACTAGTTTGTCTTTAGATGGTGAGGAAAATGACCTTTTTGAGCTCTAAAAGGAAATTGGTACATGTCATAAGAGAAATGCAGAGCTGTATCTACAAATAATTTCCTAAGGTTTAGGATTGGAGGAATACTCATTAACACCCTGTGATATGCAGATGATACCACTTTGGTTGCTGAAAGTGAAGAGGACTTAAAACATTTCCTGATGAAGATCACAGACCACAGCCTTTGGTATGGGTTGCACTTCAATGTAACATCAAGATAAACGGAGAAAAGATTCAAATTGTTAAAGACTTCATTTTGCTGGGACCAACCATCAACACTAATGGAAGCATCATCAGTCAAGAAATCAAACAACGTATTGCATTAGGCAAATCTGCTGCATAAGAAAGACCTCTGTAAAGTGTTCGAGTGCAAAGATGTCAAGTTTGAGGACTAAGATGCACCTGACCCAAGCCATGGTATTTTCAGTAACATATGCATGTAAAAGCTGGACAGTGAATAAGGAAGATCATAGAAGAATTGATGCATTTGAGTTACGGTGTTGGAGGAAAATATTGAAAGTGTCATGGTTTGCCAAAAGAACCAAAAGATCTGTGTTGGAAGAGTCCTCCATGGAAGCCAGGATGGCCAGACTTCATCTGTCATACTTCAGACATGTCAGGAAGGACCAGTCACTGGAGAAGGACACCATGCTTGGTAAAGCGGAGGGTCAGTAAAAAAAGCGTAAGACCCCCAATGAGGTGGATTGGCACAATGGCCAAAGCAATGTGCTCAAGTATAGCAAAGATTGTGAGGTTGGCACAGGACCAGGCAGTGTTTCATCCTGTCGGGCATGGGTTCACTGTGAGTCAGTACTTGCTCGATGGCACCTAACAACAAAAACAGCAGAAGTTATAGGTAACTCTTTTATGGGGACCAATGTGTTTCTATGCATAAAGGGAAGGAAAAGAAACCGTGTATAAGTACTTAACCACTTTCTGTGCCCTGGAAGGGGAAATCCTAGAAGAAAATTAGCCAGAGTTCAAAGTTCCCCAGTGAGAAAATGTGGCCAACTGCATGAGCAGATCAGATGGCACAGTGAATAGAAAGGAGGAAGTCTGAGTGGGTTGGAGAAAGCACCGAGTCCAAGCCCCATGCCAACATTGCTCCTTGACTGCGGGTACAGTCTGTACATTCAACAGATACACCTTGCTAGACACTGGAATCCTTGTAAACCGAGCGAGGCTTAGATGAAGTAACGTGTAAAGTCTCTTCCAGTCTGACATTCCTGATGATGGCATGTAGAAATTATCAACTGGTGGCTACTACTACTCTGTCTCTCGCAGCCACTCGGATCTCCAGTGCTAACTGGGTACTCTCTGTTTTCAGCATCACAGAACACATAGACTTTGCCACTCCGATACAGCAGCCCGCCACGGAGCCTCTCTGCAATGGCAATCTCCCCACCAGCATGCACACCCTGGACCACTTGCATGGGGTTTCCAACCGAGCCAGCCTGCACTACACAGGGGAGAGTCAGCTAACAGAGGTGAGTGCTCACCCACCAATCTGCCTGCCGGGATGCAGCTGATCTCACAAAGCATAGTGGCTTGCCTCTCTCTCCCTCTGTCTTCATTGGCTTGTGGTACCTAGATTGTGGCGCATTTCCTTCCTCTAACCTATCATCTCCCTCCCAATTCCAGGTATTGCAGAATCTTGGCAAAGACCAGTATCCACAGCAGTCACTTGAACAAATTGGCACCCGAATTGCCAAAGTTTTGGAAAAGGTAGGTCACCCTGCAGGAAGCATTGCTTTCTTACTGCCCATCCATGTCATGTGCCGCTACAAGACTCTGACGTTTTGTGTTGGTTACTTGGCACCTGGTGAACAAAGAGATAACACACAATAGCCCAAAAAGAATGCATATTCACTTTCCCATGACCTGTACTAAGACTTGGGGAGTAGCCTTTTTGGGGGGTTTGTTTTGTTTTGTTACTGCTCTGTTTACCTTCTCTATTGAATCACGAGAATTCCTGGTGTGGTGTTGTAGGTTAAACACTGGACTGCTAACCACAGATCGGCGGTCCAAACCTACCAGCAGCTCCTTGGATACCTTATTCAGGGTCACTATGAGTTGGAACTGACTCAATGACACTTAGCAGCAACTGCAATAGTGAATCAAGTCCACTCCGTTTTCTCTTTTGACTCCAACATGAGTATAGATAGAGGTTGTGGAATGGGAAAACAGAAATCTCACGACAGGAACTAAGTCAGGTGACCTTCTTCTTACGGTAATGAATATTTGGTACTTCAGATGGTGGATAGGAAACACACCTTGAAATATCTTTTTTCTCTTTGAAGTTATGAAACAAAATCTTTGAAAAACTGCATTCTCATGGTTAAGTGCCATTGAGTGAGTTCCAACCCATAGTAACCCTGTGTAGGATTTTTCAGGAGTCCTGGTGTGGCACTGTGTGTGGGTTAATGCGCCAGACTGCAAAGCCGGTTGAACACCAAAGTCAGCACTTGAAGCTCACCAGCTGTTCCTTGGAAACCCTATATAGGGTCCCTATGGGTCGGAACTGACTCAAAGGCATGAAACAACAACAACAACAACACAGGGTTTTCAAGGAGCTGCTGGCTGACAGGTCTGAACCGCCAACCTTGTGATTAGCATTCCAGTACTTGTACTACAGTGCCACACCAGGACCCTCATTTTCATAGAGTTTACCAAAAGAAAACAAAACACTTGTATGAAAAGTGATTTTTTACAATTTAACTTAGGTTACTTCTTTTAGACTTACAGATCTTGCCACTAAAATTACTGTAAACACTGAAGTGGTACAATAGCGGATAAGCGAGTTCCCTCAGCGGCCGTTGTGAACACAGTCGTGTGAGATAGGAGTTTCTTCTTCTGGCTGTCACACATGGACAGCTTACCAGCAAATTCCAGTTGTGACACTAAGAGATGGAGGACCCCCAGACACACACACACCAACTAAATTAATAATCAAAAGCAGCAGAGTTACACATAAAAAGATAATACATCATGATCAAGTGGGATTCATATCAGGGATGCAAGGATGGTTCAACATTAGAAAAATGATCAACGGTATCCACCATATAAATAAATAAAAAGAAAAGAACCACACGATCATACCGATTGATGCAGAAAAGGCATTTGACAAAATCCAATATCCATTCCTGATAAAAAACACTCAACAAAATAGGAATTGAAGGGAAATTCCTCAACATAATAAAGAGCATATATACAAAACCAACAGCCTACATTACTCTCAATGGAGAGAAACTGAAAGCCTTCCCTCTGTGAACAGGAACCAGACAAGAATGCCCTTTGCCACCACTCCTATTCAATATTGTGCTGGAAGTCTTAGCAAGAGCTATACGGCAAGACAGGGAAATTAAAGGCATCCAAATTGGCAAAGAGGAAGTAAAACTCTCCCTATTTGCAGACGATATGATCCTATACATGGAAAACCCCAAAGACTCAGTAAAAAAGCTACTAGACCTCATTGGAAGATTCAGCAAAGTGGCAGGATATAAGATCAACATCCAAAAGCAGGAGAGTTGCCACAAAAGCCATACTAAACGAGTTTTAGCAGAAGCTGCAAAGGGATAGCAATTCCAGATAACTTCAGCAAAAATCTTCTTCCTGAAGGAACCTTATACAAATTGCCCAACCAGGAAAATCCTTTGAATTTTTAGTAATTAAAATAGGAGGCCCAAATTGATATTATGTAAGAGGAAAATATAGAGAGTGTCATGGACAGGTGACTAGACAACTTTTTCCCATGAATTTAAAAATCATAGTGTACAATTGCCTCTATGAATAAAGATCAGAAAGCTTATATATAAAACTGTGGGGGAGAAGTTAGCAAAGGCTTTAAAAAACAAAACAAACTAGGCAAAAGAGATCTACAAAACTTGAACAGGCAAAACACAAGAAATAGGAAAAATCATCAATGATGGGAGCACCAAGGAGAATACACCACAGATACATAAAGGAGGGACAGAGGATAGAAATAAACATTGTGACCAAGATAAAATAGAGAATTAAAAAGAATTGAAGAGAATATGAGAGAGAAGAAGGTATTTAAAGAAAGATGGCATAGCTATACGCTTATCAGAAAAAGTAAACAGTAAAACAGGAAGCATTACTCAAGTTAAAGAGGTATGTTTTATAATGATAAAGGGGTCTGTGGTAAGCTGGATGTTGCTAAGTGCCATCCAGTCGGTTCCAACCCATAGCAACCCTGTGTAAGGTTTCCAAGGAGCAGCTGGTGAGCTAGAACTGCCAACCTTGCAGTACAACCGGCTTTGCAGTCTGACACATTAGCCCACAGCACCACACCAGGACTCCTGGATGTTATTGTTTTTAGGTGCCATTGAGTCAGTAACAACTCATAGCGAACTTATGCACAGCAGAACGAAACACTGCTCCATCCTGGGCCAACCTCACTGTTGCCACACTTGAGTCCATTGATGCTGCCACTTGGCCGATCCATCTTGTTGGGGGTCTTCCTCTTTTTCTCTGACCCTCCACCTTACCAAACATGATATCCTTCTCCAGCGACTGGTCCCTCCTGACAGTATGAGAGACGAAGTTTGGCCATCTTGTCCTCCAAGGAGCACTCTGGCTGCACTTGTTCCAAAACAGATCTATTAGTTCTTTTGGCAGTCCATAGCACTTTCAATATTCTCCTCCTACACCAGAACTCAAAAGCATCAATTTTCTACGGTCTTCCTTATGTCCAGCTTTTGCATGCATATGAGGTTATTGAAAATATCATGGCTTAGGTCAGGCGCATCTTAGTCCTCAAGCTGACATCTTTGCTCTTCATCACTTTAAAAACATCTTGTTCAGCAGATTTGCCTAATGCAATATGTCCTTTGATTTCTTGACTGCTGCTTCCATGAGTGTTGATAGTTGATCCAAAAAAATGAAGTCCTCCTGGATAGTAGTCCCCAAAAAGATACCCATGCGCTAATCTCTGGAACTTGTGAATGTTACCTTATATGGCAAGAAGAAGATGGAAAAAAATGTTTGTAGATGTAATTAAATCAATGCACATAAATGATCCTGGATTATCTGGGTGGGTCCTAATGCCTCCAGGTGTATTTTTATGAGGAAGGCAGAAGGAGATTTGGCACAGACAGAAGAGAAGACAGTGTGACCTGCTAGACAGGGAGCAGAGGAATGCAGCCACCACCAAGAAATGTGAGCAGCCACCAGAAGCTAGAAGAGACAAACAAATTCTCCTCTAGAGGCTCCAGAGGGAATGTGGCTTTGGCAAAGATTTCCAACCAGTGATCCTGAGTTTGGGTTTCTGGCCTCCAGAACTATAGCAGAATAAATTTCCGTTGTCTTAAGCTACCATGTTTGTGGTCATTTGTTACAGCAGTCAGAGGACACTAATTGGTTTGATATGCAAGGTATATAAGCTTTATGTGCTCAGTAGCATAGCTTTAAAATATGGAAAGCAGGTGACATAGCCCCAATCCAAGTGAAAGACTTTTATGTGTTTCACATAATAACTGATAGAAAAAGCAAACAAAAATGGACAGTTACTGATTGGAATACCTAAAATGGGGCTACAACGTGCCCAGTGAAGGAGACTTCCTGCGGAGCCTCTGCAATACATAAGACTATAGGTGGAAG